CTTGAAACCAGAGCCAAAGAAACACACACTGTTCCTGACCAAATCAATACAAATACCAATCAAATCCCTGAGCACAAAACCAGCCAATCTCTGAGCATGAAATGCAGCCCTGCTGAAACTCAGGGATTGAAATCTGACCAATTCCCACTCTGAAAATCACCCTGGAAAATCTCTGTCCCTAAAAAGTCCTATATAAGCCCTATTCCTCTGTACCTGCTCAGTTGGGAGCCGCCTTTTTCCATTCTGGCAGAGGCAGCTAGCTGCCCTCCTGGATTCTTCCCTCCCTATAAATCTCTTGGATGAGGTTTGGGTGAGACCTTCTTTTGGAGGATTGTAGTGGAGCAGGGAAGTAACAACTTTTCACTTTTCACGGAGCCCCAGTGGAGAAGAGCAGAACGGTAAGAACTTTGCTGGGGAAACGCGCCCCTGCCGGAGCACAGGTGTTACACTGGAGAACCCTTTCGCTGGAGCAGGGCTGTAAGCGGCTATGCTTTACTATGACTTTGTGTTGTTCCTTGGCTCCTGACTGCCAGGATCCTTTCCATCAGAGCTGCAAGGCTTACACAAGTCTGTCGGCTGACTGTTTTGTAGTGCTGACCTGACTTCCTTCTCTCTTTCTGTAAAAGTTTTTAATGCACTGTCTTTGGTTACTGTGACAAGTATGTACAACATTGAGAGCTGTAATTAAAATCAGCTCCAGTCACATCAGAGATGTTGCTTTATGGCCTCCCAGACCTGAAGGCACCAGTTCTTCTGTTTCAGTTTCTTGAGTGTGAAAAAGGTGTGTACTCATCCCCAGCTCTCTTCTGTACTAGCAAGAGCACAAATTGTTATAAACCAGTTATTACCACAGATTTATAATTTTAAAATTTCTGTATAAAAATAGAAGTTATAAAGGTTGCAATATTTGCCTATATATTATTATTGAACTAGTCTGCTATTTCTAAGCCCCTCAAGGCATATGAGTGACCTTCAACTGCCAGGTTCCACTCAGAGAACACTCTAATTGCCCTAACAGCCGGATGAAGCCCCCACCCTACATCTAGACTTGAAATCCCACTCAATCCCCACCCTGGAAAGCTTCACAAAAGTTCCAGCCTCCCCACAAGAAACTATATAAACCCTGCCTTTTGCTCAGTTCTTTGCTGTTTCTTACCCAAGCAGAGTCAGTCACTTTCCAGTTTTTTCTTCCCACTCCCAATAACCCTTTTGTGTGAGCTTTGTTGTGTCACCAGTGCGACTCTTTCCATCTGAGTTGGAGCACTTACACTATTACTATGACAAACTGCCCTGGTAGATGTGTATGGAGGAGACGGCTTGCTGCCTCGTGGTAACTTGGAGGCAGGAGAGAGAGGAAGAGGTAACAGACACGGAAAAGAGCTCTTTCTTGAAAGCCTAGGCTTTGGGAACTCACAGAAGGGCCATCATCATGCTCATGTTGGATAGCATGGTGTTTTAAAATAAGAGGTGATTAATTAAATAAAGGGCTTAAGAAATTCCTGAGAGAAGAGTCTGCAGACAAAAGGGACTAGGTAACCCTTGCACCCACATGTAAAAAGCATGATTTTCTAGTTTCCCACTGCTCACGAGCAGCTTAAGCATAAAACAAGTTGCACTCCATTTGTAATGCGTCCTCTTTAAGGATGGAATGAGTTCTAAAGCTGAAAATTACCTAGCGGGGGATCTCTGTGTTCAGTTTTCACTGTTAATCTGTGTTTTCAGTGACTATGCTGCTTTCAGGCCCATGACAGGGGAGAACTAAGGTGAGGAAAGGAGGGCGGAGAGGCTGGGGACAGACAGACTCTTTCTCCCGCCAGGCCTCACCTCCGAGTAGCCCATTTGGCTAGGAACTTCTGAATGATTAAAAGACTGATGAACTCTGTGCCTTCATGATCCACTCAGCTCTCAAGCCCACCAGCTGGCGGCCTTGCACACTAGGCCTTTGGGGGACCTTAACAATCTCCCAAAGTGTCTCATTCATTAAATCAGGAACTGTGTGTTGTGTGTTGGGCTTGTTTATTCTGTGTTTCTATAAAATGAGTGTCTATCTTGCAGTCTCAGAACTTGATATCTGGTGAGGAGCAATATGTTAAGGTCCTTTCCCTTGAAGGAAATGGAAGAGTAATTATATATAGGTAGGTAAATATTAATAGATTTTACATATGCGTTTAAATGTGAAATACCCTTCATGAGCCCCATGCTTAGTCCTGAGTAGGTGGAGGTATCTGGAAGGTTGTGGAACCTTTAAGAGGTGGAGACTTAGTGGAGGAAGTGGGCCACTGGGGGGCCATCCTTGAGCTTTTATAGGCTGGCCTGCTTCCTAGTCACTCCTTTCCAAGGTCAATGTGAAGAGACAGGTCTCCTGTTGCCATGCCTCTTCCTGACAAACTACAAGCCAAAACAGACCCTTTCTCCTTAAGTTGCTCCTGTCAGGTCTTTGCTCACAGTCATGAGAAAGGGAACCAAAAAAAAAAAGAAAGAAAGAAAGAAAGGAAAGAAGGAAGGAAGGAAGGAAGGAAGGAAGGAAGAAAAAAAGAAAGAGAAGTAAGAAAGAGAAGTAAGAAACCTGAAACCTGGAAAACCTGAAACCTGGGTGTGGAGGCAGATACAGGCAGATCTCTGTGAGTTTGAGGCCAGCCTGGTCTACAGAGCAAGTTCCAGGACAGTCAAACTACACACAAACACTGCCTTAAAAACAACAAATAGAAACCTGGGAAAATACAATAAAGTTTAAAAATTGTCAAAATGAAAGTTATCAGTTCTAGAAGATAAGAAAATCTGAGACTTTACTGACATAAGGCTTGCTTCTATACTTAATTAAAAGCTGACAACAGAACAGACCTCTGACGATGTCACTACAGCACTACTTAGGGCTTCCTGTTCTCAGCTGCCAGGCTCATGCAGACACACGAGCAGACGTATAAGAACCACCAGTTCCTTACTCACACGAGTTTCTGAGACACACAGAGGCTAGACACTGCCTGCAGGGTGACACCACAGTGGAGCCATCCTTGACTTCCCCTGGCATGGCTGCTGGGCATGTGGAGCAGCTGCACAGTGCTGTAGTCTCTCTGAAGGCGGGCGAGCATCAGTGCCTCCGTCCAGGAAGCAGGCTGAGGCCGTGTGCACTGCTCTGGCAATAAGCAATCTGTCCTTATTCTGTGACAGACATTGCCATTTCCCTCCATGGGCGTCAGTGTCAGCCTGGCAGGACTGCCTCTGGTTAAAGTTTCTCACATCAGCCTGGAGAGGGACCAACTTTCATGAGCAAAGAAAGGGCCTGGGTGTGATTGAGAGAATGGTAATCTCTCTAGCAGGGTGAGCCTCTATGGTCCTTACTTTTCTTGTTGCTGTGACCAAATACCTGCCTATGAGCTGAGGAGGAAGGGGTATTCTGGCTCACAGTCTTTAGAGACAGCCCATCATGGTGGAGAAGGCACAGCAGTGGGAAGCTCTTTGCGTATGTCTGGTGGCAGAACCAATAAACACCGAGACTCCCTGGCTTCCTTCTGATCTATCCAGTGGGACCCATCCATGGGGCGGCACCACCCTGGGCGTCCTCTCTTCAGCTACACGGCTCTGGGAAACACCTTCAGCAGATGCTTTCTTGCTGTGTATCTCTGACCTGATTCCAAATCTAGTCAACCTGATAGTAAGAATCAACCATCACAGCCCCAAGTAGCCATTACCAGGGGGTAGAGGTAACAATCCTGTTACCAAAGCTACAGCCATGTGCATGCCTGTCTTACAGCTTGACCTACTCAGACACAAGCAGAAAAGTAACTCAAATGGCTAAGAAAACTCCTTTTTAAAGTTTATTTACTTGTATACTTGGCATTCTTTCTAGGCCTACTTTTAAAGCTTAAGCCAGGGTGAAGCAAGTTGTGAGAACACAGTAGGGGCAGGCTCCCTTCTCTCCATCTGCTCACAACTGTGTGTCATGCTTCTTAACCCTCAGTTTTGGCCTGGCGGTGGTGGCACATGCCTGAAATCCCAGCACTTGGGAGGCAGAAGCAGGCAGATCTCTGAGTTCAAGCCCCACCTGGTTTACAGAAGAAGTTTCTAAACAGTCAAGGTCTTGAAGAAAAAAAAAACAACAAACAATAAAAACAAAACAAAGAAAACTTCAGTTTGCTTTCAGGACCTGTCTCAGCAATGCCACAGACACTGCTGCTCTGGGAACCTGGACAGAAGACCTGGACTATCACTGCCCCGGCCATCTGTCCTAGGGCTTCTATTGCTGTGAAGAGACACCATGACCACAGCGATTTTTATGATGGAAACATTTAATTGGGTGGCTTACAGCTTTAGATGTTTAGTTCATTATTGTCATGGTGGGACATGGCAGTGTACAAGCAGATGGTGCTGGAGAAGAAGCTGAGAGTTCTACATCTTTTTTTTTTATAATATATTATAATATTATATATGTATACAATATTCTGTCTGTGTGTATGCCTGCAGGCCAGAAGAGGGCACCAGACCCCATTATAGATGATTGTGAGCCACCATGTGTTTGCTGGGAATTGAACTCAGGACCTTTGGAAGAACAGCAATGCTCTTAACCTCTGAGCCATCTCTCCAGCCCGAGAGTTCTACATCTTGATCTGCAGGCAACATGAGGTGAATTGTGACACTAGGTTGAGCACAGGAGACCTCAAAGTTCACTCCCACAGTGACACACTTCCTCCAAGGCCACACACACTGCTACTCTTTATGAGCTGATGGGGCCCAAATACATTCAAATTAACACACCAAACATCTATAGATTTTCTAGTCATTCAGAAAGCTTAATTAAGTCAGACTTTATTGACCACCAAAAGCTAGACTAATGTGTGTGTGTGTGTGTGTGTGTGTGTGTGTATTAAAACTATTAAGTGAGAGCCAGTTGTGTAGTTTTACAGTGTCTGGCTCACAGGCAAGAAGCATCAGTAATTTCAGATTTTTCTTCTGGTGAAAATATTGTCTTGACACAGTCTGCAAGAATGTTAGGAAGGTCTTACCTGGGCCGGAGTGTTTGCAGTCCCAGGAGGTGGTGAGGCACTGACTTTTGGCTCACTGGGGGATGCTGCTGAGCCCTGAGACTCCTGGCTTGCCGGCTGGTCTGGAGACAAGGCATCACTGCTGTCTTCATCAAATGAGAACTCCCTGTGCATGTGGGGATAGTCCTCCTTCACCACCCCTGCAGAGAGAACCCCAAGACTGACTGAGAAAGGGGAGTTTTAGGAGCTGCTTTAAAGTTTGGCTCTTCCCAGAGGAAGCCACACTGCTGTAGAACTGGAGGTTCTTCCCAGAGGGAGCCGCACCGCGACAGAACTGGAGGCTCTACTAGCAGGAACCACAACTGTCTGTCATGGACTCTGTGAGGTTTGAGGTTTTCCTAGCCGCTGTGGGAAAGGCAGGAGTGCTCTGTTGTTGCTTTTGTTGCTGTGGTGCTGGGGATGGAGCTCAGGGCTCGGTACAAGCAGGCCATGAGGTCAGAGCACCAGCACCGCTCTGGAGCCTGGCTGGGAGGGGAGGCTTCTCAATGACACTGGAGAATACCGCAGCAAGAGGGCGATCCAGGATGCAGGCAGCAGAAAGGAGAGTGAGAGAGTTATGGTAGTCTGCACGCCGGTTTCCATTTCAAGGGACAGCGCACCTACACTCACACCTTCCTTACCTTGGAGGCTGTCTTCCCCAATGTTTGGAATCAGAGTTGACTTCATGTTTCAGAATTCTCTAACTACAAACTGCCTAAGCTTTAAACTCACACTGGCTCAGAGTATGAAGTCCTCAGGAGTATGAGAGCTGTACTAACTAGTTTTTCAGTTAGTATAAAACAAGCAAAAACAAAATTCCCCAAAAACAACAACAAAACTGTGCTGAATGAGTATCATTATTCATTTGTTTTCCTGCTAAAACTATGCCAGAAGCAAAAAATACATCAGTGGCACTGCCCACCCTCTGTGTGCTGGAGTGTGCTGCCCATGCACAGGCCTGGGGTCAGGTAACAAGAACAGAATGAGCAGCGCAAGGCAAAGGGGAAGCAGACTGCTGCGACTTCTCTTCCAGAGTGCAGGAAATCCATGGGCCATTCTTGCCTGTAAAGCTTATTACCTTCCTAGATAGACATAATGAACAGCCTAACAATAGTAAACAGTAGAAATGAAATGGTACAATACAGTAATTTATCTTAGATGTGTGATAATGGTATCAAAAGTCACTCTGACATAAAATGGAAATCCAATCCATGCTACTGGCAGCAGAGGCCATTTTCTAATCTATAACAAAACAGTCACAACAAAATAGATGTTTATCAGTTTCTAGTTAATCAAGAAAATAATGCCCTTGATTGATGCTAGCATTTTAATCAAATCTGTTTTATTTAAAACTCCTGAGAAAGACAGAAACTGTTACTCTTGCCTATAATTGCTTCCTTGACACTTGAGTCCACAGGAAGAATGTTCTTCTCCACCAGCTCCATGGGTCCAGGCCTTTGAGCGATCTTCTCGTTCAGGTCGTCTGCCAGTCGAGCTCTCTTCAGCTTCATCTGTGTGGCCTGCAGAGACGGCTCTGCAAATGTTTCTGCAAGACCAAGTGTACGCTTTAACCATGGCACCTATCAGGCCAAGTAACTGAACTGAACTACATTAACAGGGTTACACTCTGCAAGGAGACAGTGACTGCTCAGAGTGCGGTAGACTCTGTTTCTCTCGGAGTGGGCAGCTACCTGTCTATGCAACACAGAGACCCCAGGGTTGGATGACCATGAACTGGGAACATCTGCCTACACCAGGAGGTCAGCTTTGTCTAGAACAATGGACTAGGTACCAGGGAGACACAGCATGTAGACACATGTGGTCCAGAGCTCTAGAAGTGGACAGTTCTCATTTGGCTTCACTAGAAAGGCAGTTCCTAGAAACAGAGGCACTAAATCTTAGGATAGACGTTTCCTTACTATCTTCAGTGGGAAGAGCTATAATTAATATTCTTGGACTCAGGGTTAGTTATCATTGTTAAGAATTTGAATTTATTTTGGAACAAACCCCCCATTTTACACAGTTTGTGGTGTGCAGAACCAACAGCTCATACACTTAAAATGACTGAGTTGCTACAAAAGACACAAAGCCACTGTAGCTCTCTCAATGCTCCTGCTTCCTGTCAGTTGCTGCCTGGAGTAAGTCATTAGCATCACCTCCCACTGTCTTGAGCTATGTTTTTGCTAGTTTAAAAATATGTGGTGAGCCATGACCCCAAATTCTGAGTTGATTCTGAGCTCTTATGAGATGAAGCACACAGAACTGTATAGAACACTATGTGCAGGGAAAACAGGATCAGACAGTCAATCATGTTGCCTTTTTGTTGTTGTTTGTTTTTTTCGATGCTTTTGTGAAGCTCAAAGTAGGAGAGCCTTCAGTTTCTCTCCCTTCCCCCGTTAACACCGTAAGTGAGAGCAGCAATATGCCTGCCTGCAAGGAAAGTCTTCCTACAGTAGCCTGGCAGGTTCTGTCTGCCTCACTTCCGCTTTAACTCCATGAAGCCGAGGCTCAATTTTTGCTGTTGAATTACAGAAAACAGTGTAGACTCTAACCTGCCAAATACGCAATTCAATTAAATTAGGTTAATGTCAAAATATATGAATAAGGTAATTCAAAAATTTAAGATGATATATTTTTTTCTCATTCTTCAGATCTCAACTTGAGAATGCATGTTTCAGTATAGACTCTTATATTAAAAATATGTGTATGGATGTTTTGCTTGCATGTGTGATATGTACCATGTGTGTGTACATATTAATTAAAAGAAAAACATGGGTAGGTGTAGTTCTTTTTACTTTAATCTATTAACAATATCTTCTAGAGTCAGAAGGCAAATATAGACAGCATTGTGTACACACACACACACACACACACACACCACACGTTGTTGTTCTTTGTTGGGCTACTTAGTGAAAGGCTTGCTCAAGTCGATGATCCCTGAAATCTGTAGTACTCTCTCTATCCTAACACTGAATCTGAAAAGTTCTTTAGTTCAGGGAACTTCTGAGAACACAGCTCATGGTGGAGAAAGGTAACATCTCTCACCTCCTGCTCAGGACCAAGCAGGTCACACATAGGAGAACACACTCTTCAGGTCTGTGGAGCCCAGGATGGTACTTGGCATTTCTTCAGAGCACATTCTAATACAGTTATCAGTCTAAGTCCTTTCTCAGTCATAGCTGCCTGGTTGTTCCCTTTTCTGTCTTCCCCTGAAGCATGCGATGCTTGAAGGCAGGCAGTTTTACCTTGCTCACTACTGGGCCCCCAGTCTCTAGCGTTGGAACAGTGGATGCACAGCCTCCTGAAGAACTGCAACTTTTTGGCAGTGTCTGAGCTACCAGGCTGCTATCCTGCATGTGAAAATCATCCTAATTCTGTCACTAGGCCCAGAGAACACAGGCTCTTTCTGCCCCACCCTGGTCTCTAAATATCTGCAATGTTTCAAGATTCTCCTTAAAGCTTAACGCACTCAAGACTGATCAAGTCCTTGCTCTTGCTTAGTAAATCAGTCACAGAAGCAGAATGATGGGAGAAACAGAACTCTGGAAATTTCTGATGAAGATGCTGCCTTTCAAAATGGCTTTTCTGGAAAGAAGGGCATCCATGTGAGCCATGTATTCTGAAGGGCTAAGACTACATCACTCAGAGGTGATTAGTAAGGGTCAGGTCAAGACCATTACAGAAGGAAGTAGCTACACAAAGGAGTAGGGACATGTGAGGGCATCATTTTGGGTAAATATCAATGAGGCCCAAGCTGTCAAAAACTTAGGGCTAGATGTGTGCGCTGTGTGCACTGTTTTAGTGACACACCTCTCTCTCCCATGATAGAGAAGTCCTATGAACCAAAAAAGGCCCTCTAGACAGTACAAGTGAAACTTAGGAACCAGCTCATCAAGTGATTGCCTAGAGTGCAAAGGTTCCCCAGTTGTCAAGTTTTGAGTCTTCACAGTGCTATCCAATTTAAAGGATGTCTGCCTGTGGGGTAAAAAGTTATTAAGATGGGAATAAACAGAAATGGTGGACACCTCACTCTTCTTAGAGAAATGGAGCCAAGCCAGCGGAAACAAACCTTACCTTCTAAAATGTGCATCCTGACCAGTTCAGAGCGATCTGGGCGGCTCCGGATCTTGTGCTTCAGAAAGTTTTCAGTCTTAAAAAAAAATGTTGTTCATGATTTATTGTAGTTTTAGATTTTCTTCAAAAATAAATTAAAAGCCCTATTTGTTGTGTTTTTGAGAGAGTAACTAGAAATTAGTGCTTAGGAGAACTATCATCTAGCACAAGACTTCAGTGTAGCCAGGGGTTTGATGTGTATTAGTATAAAATAACTACTTTACAAAGTTTTACAGTGAAACTGAGAAAAGCTCAGATTTTTAAGATGAGTTTTAAATAAGCATAATATTTAATCCCTTCATATGAAACCAGTGCCTTAGAAAAGTAAAAATTTATTTAGATACTAAAATTCTTAGAAATAATAATATATTTTATTTGCGTTCTTAGCACATTCTCTAAAACTGCACTCAACACCCAAACAATAGGTCTAGGAGCTTGTTACTGCATTCTGGGGACAGTGATAAGAAATTTTTATAATACTCTTATTTTCATACTGCATTAACAGGAAGAATGGATATAACGGCACTGAGCACCTATGTGACACGCGCCCACAAAAGAACCACTTTCAAGAACACAGTTGAGTGTAGCATGTTCTTTATTTAGCTGTGTTCTCAATCCTTAGGCAAATGAACAGTGACACAGATGCACAGGGAAATCAGCCAAGGACCTTCAGAAGCACATGACTTCCATGTCTTTCTGCAGGGCTAATAAATAGCAGAGGCACTTGCCTAGTCTGTCCATTAGACTCTGGTTTTGCCCTAACCTGCTTTCTTATAAAACCAAGGACCAGCAGCCCAGCTATGATGAGCTGGGCCTGCCTACATCAGTTACCAGTCAAGAAAATGCCCTACAGGTTTGAGGTTTGGTGGGGACACTTTCTCAATTGATCCCTCTTCTCAGATGATTCTAACCCTGTGTCAAGTTAATAAGAAGCTAGTCAGCACAGCTCTGAAAACAAATGAACTAGTTACTTTTATTTTGTTTCTTACTTTATGGGTATGTGTGGGAGTAATATATGCACATGTGTACACGTGTAAGCATGTCCATGTAGAGTATGGGGTATGAGAGCGTGCATGAGAATGTTGGGAAAATGCATGTACATGTGCACATGTATGAGCGTATGCATGTAGAGGACAGAGGTTAATGTCAGGTGAGCTCACCCAGTTGGTAAGCCTTGCTGGTCAGCAAGCACCAAGGATCTTCTTGCTTCAGCCTCCTCGGTGCTGGGAATCATTATAGGCTTGAGTTGCCAGGCCCAGACTTGCTTTATTTGGGGGCAGAGTTTAAACTCAGCTCTGTGGCAAATGCTCTACTGACCGAGCCATCTCTTTTGGCAGAGCTGATTTTAAAAGAACAAACTGAGCCATCACCTACTTTCTATACCTCAGAGTGCATTCTATCTACATTGCATTTCTTGTCACCCACTTTCTATACACCTAAAAATCAATCCACCCCAGAGTGCGTGCTATCTACACCACACTTCTTAGAGATAATGTGTGCATTCTAAATCAACATATTTAGGAGTATTGGCGCCTGGGATACAACTGAGAAATAAAGATTTTTTTAAAGTGAAATTACTTACTCTGGCTCGCTCCAGGCTTTTTATCTGCTCGTGGAATGCTGCTGGACTCTTCAAAGCTGTTAGGAAGAAAACAAATGGTTTCCACAGCATAAGCAGCACCATATCTTAGCCTGCCACTCTGCTAACCCCGGCAATGCGCATCTGTGCTGACGTTTATTTACAGTTCCTTTACGAGACCCCTCCAAATGTGAAGACTTCACTGTTACCCAATGAAGTAATGTAGATCACAAAGAAAACAAGTAGACATTTCAAACAAAGATGCTGTATAATAACTGCTAAGTGCCAGGTTGGACAATCCAAGGCCCAGGGGACTTCCACGGTCTTTGTTCACAGTGCTCATATAGGCTGCTAGACAAATACCATGTGGTCTGGAACTGAACATGGGGACACACAGCACTCGTTCATTCAGAACTCACGACCGGCATGACTCTGTGGTGAAGCACAGTTAAGACTGCTGCTGGTCTCCCTAATAAATTTGCAAGGTGAGTATGAGCCCCAGGATGAGATGTGTGCAAGTCTCTGAGATCACACAGCTAAATGCTGGCCAAAGTGGGATTTAAATCTTGTATACTAAATTTAAAGGGTTATGTTCTTTGTATCATGAGGGGTGTGGTATTTGTATTTCAGCCTATCGCCTTTGAAGGATCTTGATTTGTGTACATCCAGCCACTGTCTTACGAGAGCAGCACGTGAAAACCATGGACACAGGTCAGTGTGAGAGAGAGAGGACTAGGCTTCTCTGTGAAGGTTGTCTTGATCATAATCTTCTAGTTTGGCCCTCGGGACACCACAGAGGCTCCCAGGAACCTACCCCTGCCAGCATGGCTGAGGACCAGCTCTCCACACCAGCCTGGGCTGATCTAGCAGCAGTATACCTTAAGCATCATTATCTGATGCTATTGATTAACTGGCTGGGGGAGGACTGTGATGGTGGAGATGCCTAGCAGATTTTCAAAGTGGCTTTGGGTGACCACAGCTGGATTTAAGATACTTAGATGACTGACAGTAGGTAGTCTATAAAAGTTTCATGGATAAAAAAAAAAACTGCTAAACAAACAAAACATTCCTCATCTTCATTAACTGATAAATTATTTCTGGGCTGGCAATGAGTTTGTTTGCTCTGTAATTTCTAGTGGTTTAAAGTGGATAAATTAACTCCTAGAAAAGTTAGTTTCTAAACAAAGTCCAGCTATAAAATTCCATGGTCTATAGAAAACAACTATTCTTCCCTCTAAAACTCCCAAAGCTGGTGGTTAAAGGTAAAGAAAACAGTTTAGATAAATATTCTAAAATCAACTCTTATGAATCTCTTGAAGGAAACAAGCGTACTCAAGCCAGAAAGACCAAGCTAACTAACTGTAAATAGCATTCTGTTGGTTGCAAATCTGAGATGCATGCAATTAGGTAGATCACAGCCCAGCATCACAGAGAATGACCTTGAGTTACTTCAGGTAGAATTCTGAAGGTCATGAGTTAATGGTAATACATTACTCTTACAGGTCTAACCTCAGATGTACCAGCAGAGTTATCAGTTCAACCACTTCAAAGTTTGAACAGACATTAAAGCCCACAGTTAAGAATGCCACAGTGAGGCTAGAGAGATGGCTCAGAGGTTAAGAGCACTGGCTGCTTCTCCAGAGGTTCTGAGTTCAATTCCCAGTAACCACATAGTGGCTCACAACCATCTATAGTGAGATCTGGTGCCCTCTTCTGGCATGCAGGCATACATGCAAGTAGAGCACTCACACACCTAAAATATATAAATAAATCTTTTGAAAAAGAACTTTACAGAGTCTTAAAGGCATTCTTCATTACTGTAAAAGTCAAGCCCACTTTTTAAAAGATGTACTAAGCGTTCTCCTAGTGGGGCCATGCTGTCACCTGGCTCTCCTCACAGATGAGCCCTCACAGAAACTACAAAGAGTGAAGGGAAGGAGGCAAGCCTTCTTCGGGAATGCCCAGTCAGTCCCCACACAGCAGAGACAACAGTGACTTAGTCTTACGTGGCATGATGCCCTGGTCCACTAGCTGTTCTCTTGTCCTCCTTTGTTGCAGCCTCAGCTGGAGCACTGTGGGAAGGAAAGAGTGTATTAGCAGCTGTGACCCCAATCCCTGCAGCTCCTTTACTAAACACCCACTGTATTATCTAACAGGAAGAAAATCAATTGGGAAGATGAGTGTGGTAGCCATGTCTGTAACCCCAGCTCTCAAGGTGCTGAGGCAAGAGGGCCACTGCAGATCTGAAATCAGCCAGGTTGCAAAGTGAGTTTCAGATATCCTGAACTACATGTAGAGTGAGGTCTTGTCTTAAGAAAGGAGGTAAGAAAAGACATTACTTGGCACTAAGTTGTAAAAAAAAAAATATTTTGTGATTCTGCTTGCTGGTAAATTCTGAATTTACTCAGCAATTCTTTTGTTTAGTTAATAATTTGAATTTATGATGAATGCTAGGCATTTCCTATTTAAATACTTAACACAGTACTCAAGCAAATTGGTAGTTAGCTTATACATTATGACTTGTTCAAAGGAAATCTCATTCAGAGCAACATATGAGATTCCTTGACATTTTTCTATGTTAATAGTAACAATTTAAGAAAAGACTGGCTTGTTTGGAAGGACTTCTCCACCAGGAAAGAATTAGAAAGAAATAGTTTTAGTGATGCCTGAATACATATAAATTAGGCCAGAGAGAAACTTCTAAGTTATGAATTTTCATAGTCTTTGCATAAACACACACTGGCTCTCACCCTACAAGGACTAGGAGAGCTGTAACCAACTGGTATCACTGTTCACCAGAGTAAGTTACAGAATCAGCAGAAACAAGGCCCACAATAGGAAATGCAGATATCTAGTTTGTCAAATTAATTTATCCCCTCCCCCGATTTTTCAAGGAGATTCTTTTTACAGCATCTCTAGATATTCATTTTAGAAAATAAGTCTATTTTAAAAAGAACACAGCAAGTAAAACAGAAACTTTTTTCCTAGTTATTTTAAGTTGTTTTGCTTTTATTTTCAAATTACGGTTAGGATGACTAAGGGTGTCCATAAACCTTACCAACAGGCTAAAACAAAATATGCATGTATCTCTAATGGTGAGGAGGGAAACGGTGGACAAAAGGCTTGGAGTGCAGCATACTTGCAGGAGACCCTACGTGCCTCTGGGAGCACAGTCCTGCACAATTGCCTGAACTGCTCAATGGCTCTTACAAACACCTTCTTATCAATGCTAGATATGAGTCCCGAACACAGAAATGTGACGGGTTTGTTTTTGAGCCACCAAGTTTTACTGACACCACATTTAGAGTGTGAACACTTGATACAGACCGCCACAGAGAGCAATTTAAACAGCGTGCGTGCTTCTGACACTAGCATTTCTCAGGGATGGAGAGGCTAAGGCTGGGTGGTACTTAAGGTGGGAGAATCCCAAGGAATGAATGAGAGGACAGAGGGTCAGGGTGTCACTCCAGCTCAGAGGGTCCTTGTCAGCAGGAAGCAGTGTCTGTCCCTTCTTCGCAGGGATCCTCAAAGAAAGGTCACAGAAGCAATAACGGCCCCTTAAAAAAGTAAACCCCAAACATAACACGTAGTTAGGAGACATTGAACACTACACTTCCTGCATATTGACATCAAGACATCAGCAGTTATCCCGTCAGCAAGCTTGTGCTCCTCAGAGGCTCTTCCGATTGAACACTGGTAACTTCGCCCCCCCCCCCCCCCACAGGACAGTCTTGGGTAAGTCAGGACTGAAGCACTCGTGCTATCATGTACAGCATATCTGCTGCTGTGTGGCTAGCACACGGAATGGACGCATGCCATTCTGATGCATTCCTCGGGCCAACACTCCTGATTGCAAATGCACAGGAGTAGCTCCGTCCTTCAATCTGAAAATAGCAAATTCATGTCTAACAATTCCAATTAAATCTGACCCTATACACTCAGAGTGAAGGCGTGACTCCCTGCACTCTCCCAATTTCAAATACTGGTCCTTAGCCTAGGCTATTCATACTACAACATCCTCCTCAGACTTGAGTATTTGTCTGACTCTTCCACAAAATGCAGGAAGGTAACTTTATTTATGATTACTGCTTTCTTATAAAGGACACAATTAAGAAACAGATCAATGGAGGAGATGCATAGGGAGGGGTCCTTTGCTGGACTTAGATCCTTTCTCTTATTCCATCTGTGCCTTCCTGGAACTAAAAGTACCCAGAAGTCATCGGGGGAGCCCTGCTACCTGTCATCTAATGTGCTCCAGATGTTCTCATCATTGGCAACACTGAGTAGCCTGACAGAGGAACTGAGGATCAAGGCTCACAGAAGATGCTTACTCACCCCTCCTCCTGTCACCTAGGAAACCATTTTAGGAGCTGTGTGCCAGGAACTAGAGGCAGAGAACAGATAATACATTTCTCGTACCACAGAGAAGAGGCACCAACCACCAACTATTAAAACAAACACCACACACAAGTCCTGTTTTTCACCCAGTTTCCTAGATGGCCAAAATAAGCAACCCCTGCACAGCCTAGGTCATTCTGCCTAAAGGGGGCAGGTGACTTAACTGATGTCCTCAAAATTCCCCTAAAAGTAAGAACATGCACAGCACTGCTCTAAGGCCTCTGCTGTGTAGCACTGCTGGAGGAGCATCCGCAGCTGCTACTGCGACAAGTGTGTTGAGGCAGAGGCATTAGAAAGGACATGACTGGAGAGGAGGCGGACTTAGAAGTAGTGAGTTATGTCTGCTGGTCACCTAGCTCCTTTACCCTGTCTATACCCAAAGGGGGACCGTAAGGGACACACAATGTCTAATACACAGGCGCAGGCGGTTGTAGTGCTTATTGGACATTGGCTGTGGAGGGTGGGGAACAGAGACACCCCAGTACACTGCAGATCTTGGTGAATTTGAAAATACCACCACCAAACTGGTTCATACTACACATGACTGGTGAGAAGCAATGAGGTTAGAAGGCATTGGTTACACAGAACAACACAGCACTGACTGGTAACTTGAGGAAAGAGCAAACTTCCTTTAGTACTCTACTCACCAACTTAGTAGGACGCACAGCACAGAGCACAGGCTGGCAGCCGGGTGCAGCACACTGGGCGGCAGAGGTTGGGCAGAGTGTATTTATTGGTGCTTTTCAGGGATTGTGAAAGGAATCATGGAGCTTCAAACCTTGACAACATAAGATGTGACTCTTCTGACCACAGAGCTGTCAACGGCTGTGGCCGCGACGCCTGACCAGGAAAGGTCCCCTTCCTCTCTCTGGAGTCTCTACATTAATCAAGGCTGGTCCATTCATGTGAAAGAAAAATCCAATAACACTGGCTGTTACTCAGCCCCTTGCATAGCTGCATTCCTAGCTGTCATCCTAGACTGCACACCAGTCTAGCATAATGTCCTATGATGGCACAGGACTCTGAGAAACCTATTTTCCTGGAACGGGCTTCATGTCTGCACAGTGTGCCTGAGAGCTGTAGCTGGTGCCTCTCTGAGACATCAGACTGCACTCATGGGCTCATCACATCACAATCTGCATGCTACTAGCAAGCCGACCAACATGGCATTCAGTGAAGCAAATGACTGAAGGATAAAGAATATACAGGAAGTGGAATTCTTGTGGGAAAGCAGTTCAAAACACACACTGACATATAACTTACATAATACTTTTACAAAATTTTGGCTTTTTGAATTAAAATGACCAGTATCGAAACGTTTCCTACATTTGATATGATTAAAGTGATTTTTCACATAGAACAAGGAATAGCATGAGCCAAATGAGCCAAAACAAAGCACGGCTTTGGCTTTGGAATGTGTGGGGGCACACGAGAGGGCTGCATATCACAAAAACAAGGCAGAAATGACACTTTCTGGGAAAGAGTGAGCTGCAGTCAGAGAGAGGTCAGAATACGTTCCATAACTATAGGACAAGGGTAAGGCAGACTGCAGGTTCATGAGGGGTGGAAAGATTCTGAGAACAAAACCCAAACCTGAGAAGTCTAGGAAAGGGTGGCAAGCTGGGACAAAGTCAACACCAGGAATGAAATAATACCCCGAAACTGATGATCCACTTATGGAAGAAACTACGGGGCAACCAACAGATCTTGGTTTCAGCTTTTCCCAAGCAGATGTTGGGGTAATTAAGAGACTGGAGTCGCTGGACTCTGGAAATGCACGTGTGGTTTGAGCAGGATGAGGTGAGGTCACGGAAGCACCGCACATTTGTGTCATCTTCTGGGTTTGGTCAAACGGTCAAGTTGGCCTATGTCTAATCTCTGTCTGTCATGTACTTTAGTCGCCAAGTGGGATTTAACCATTGTTTTATCAGTGAGAAGGACAATGAGAAGGTCAGTTGGGAGGTCAGTGAAGGAAGCATAAGTGCTTATTCATAACACAATTGAAAATTATGAAAGAGAAATCATGCCATTTATTACTTAAGTGCTCCAGATAATAAGGCAGTCACTATGGTTACCAAGTCTTATTAAGAACCATAAGTTACTTGGTTTCTATCAGCAAAATAGGCCACAGGACAACACTTAAAGAGTCCTTCGAAAGTTCTATATATTGTACCTTTGTTAAAAACAAGTGCACCCTTGCAATTCTATTCCTGAGAGAAATGCAAAGTGAAAGTCAGGTATACAGACACAAACGTGTCCACACATGCTCACAGTAGCTATACCCTCAACAGCTTAAGTGTTACAGAGTATGGATTAGTCTATACTTATGGAGTACTGTGCAGGTACAGAAAGGAATTAGGTACTGATACAGATCAAATGTGGTCGAGGGGCTGCAGAGACGGCGCAGCAGTTAAGAACACTTGCTGCTCTCATAGAAGATCTCAGTTTAGTTCCCAGCACCCATGTTGTGGTGGGTCACAGCTGCCTGTAACTCCAGCTCCTGGGGATCTGACATTCTCTCTTGGATTTTACTCACATATGTGTGTGCATGTGCATACACACGGGGGAAAGGGAGAACGCATACTCTTAAAGATAAATCTGAGTGCAGATGAACCTAGAAAAAAACACCATGTGAAAGAAGCCAGACGCAAAAGATGGCACCTTATGTCACTCG